TGAGGGGGGGGGACTTCTGAGCCCAAATCGGGGGGGTGATCTAACATAGGGAACGACTCAGAGAGAAAATTCCAGTGTATTTACCTCAGGATTTCAAGACCCAGTGGGCTAGCTTAAAGCTCAAGGCTCTAAGAGTTTAGAGAGTGCTTGTGGAAAAAGCAGAAGCGAGGGGTCAGAGCAGATCTGAGGGAATAGAAGAAAAAGCCTTTGCTTGAAATAGAAATCATTTCAGTGACTGGAAGTAAAAGAAGGAAGACAGGTCCATAATAAAATCAATAGAAACACACATTCTAGAATAAGTAACTCAGATAAATATGCCTCCCAAAGAACTAAAAGACCAGTAACAGTGGAATCTGAGTCTCAAGAGGCACAAAATTTAGTACCTCAGGAAATGGAGGGAAATGGAGACCCTTTAACTCAAGGAGAACAGTTAGAGACTGAGGAAAATACCTAAGAAAGACCAGGTATCTTAAGCTCTCAAGAGTTTCAAAATGGAAATTTCAACAGGAATTTAAATTGAAAGAATTGGAGATCAGAGAGAGAACCAGGGAATTAGAAGTTAGAGAAAAAGCCAGAGCTGAGACTCAGGAACTACAGCTCAAAGCTGAGCAGGAGGCCAGACACATAGCAGCTGAGCAAGAAAATAGATAGAAAGAAAGGGAATTTCAGTTACAAATGAGACAATTAGAAATAACCTCTCAAAATAACAACAATAATAACAGCTCCAATGGAGGAATTCTCCATTGAGAATTGATCTTAAGAAATTTCCCCAATATAAGAAAAGGGACTGTACTGAATCTTTTATTATCACTTTTGAGCACATGTGCTGGGACTGTAATATCCGAGATAGTGAAAGGATGATTGTTTTGAGGTCACAAATCAGTGGAGAATTGCTTGAGATTTATTCTCAGATTCCCCTAGAACAGGCTAGAGATTTTGAAGCCTATAGAAAAATGGTATTTTTCAGATATTGCATAAATGCAGAACATCTCAGGCGAAAATGTTGTGCCCTTACTGAAAGGCCTGAAGAATCGTATGCTCAGTTGGTATCTAAGTTACACTAGTATCTGGACAAATGGATGACACGTGAAAAAGTTACTTCTCTAGAAAATTGTGATGGGTTTAGAACAATTTTACTCTATTTTATCTTGGGAATTGCGTTATCTAGTTAGGGACAAAAATCCTAAAACTCTAATAGAAGCTGGTGAACAGGCGGATCACATTAGAGAGTACAAAGACCCCAGATTCTCTGAGGCAAAAGTTAACAAGCCAACCTGGGACTACCATAAGAAATCCTTCAACCAATCTTTTAACAAACAGTACCACAGTAAAACAACAGGGAATGAAGGCCAGGGTGGTGCCTCAGCTAAATTAATACGACCTAGTCCTCTGAACCAAGTGAACTCTGAGGAAAAGTTTACCAAATCTCAGAATGAGAGAAGGAATTATAGGTGTTACAATTGTGGCCAGCCTGGACATTTACAGTTCCAATGTACAAGAAATAAACTTAATACTGGGAAGAATGACAGTCAAGCCAGAAAAGTGTACTGTTTAAAACAAGTTGAATCCCCAGAGTCCTATTTCCATGGCAACCACAGGTTCCACTGATCTTGAGGAGGACATTCCTGAAGCCCTATAGTACATTGTTATATTTTTTAAAAATGAAATTCTGTGATTAATATGTTCAAAGGCTTGAATTACTGTCTTTGCTATCCTGGGATCTGCTCTTTTTTAAATTTAATTTGTAAGTTTGAAGCAAGAACATTTTAATACAACATCTCTTGCTTTAGTAGATAGCAGTTTCGTTGATCATCTCATTCCACGTGCAGAATCTAATATTACTTCCTTTACCTCTCCTCCCGATAAGCTTCATGAACATATACTATGAATCTTAAAGGAATCATCTGCAATATCATCTTTAGAATTTGATTAGATATTTTTCTTCATATTGCCAAGTTCTATTACTGAATAATTCAAGCCTCTTCATGGATTGCTGCCTTGTCATGGAAAAGGGGCTTGAGTAATTCAGAGAAGCTATGGGCTAGGCCGTACAGGGATACCCAAGATGGACAGATCATAGTGGAGAGTTCTGACTAAACGCGATCCAACTGGAGCAGGAACTGGCAAGCCACTCCAGTATCTTTGCCAAGAAAACTCCATGGACAGAAACAAAGGCTAAAATATATGATGCTGGAAGATGAGCCCCTCAGGTCAGAAGGTGACCAACATGTTACTGAGGAAGAGCGGAGGACAAGTAGCTCCAGAGCTAATGAAGTGGTTGGGCCAAAGCTGAAAGGACACTCAGTTGCAGACGTGCATGGAAGTGAAAGGAAAGTCCGATGCTG